TATCGTTACGGTTGACGGGGACGAACTCGTGGGAAAGGGCAAAATCAAGGTTGAAGTAACTGCATATTGAAGCGCTCATGCTCGGAACAGGCTCGCTGGGGGGGGGGGGGGGGGGGGGGGGGAACTGGAGACGAGGACCCGTGTGGTACTGCGAATCTCGGCGCGAGTTTGTGACTCTTTCTCTCTCCAGCCAGGATTAGTCGGAGCCGGAAAACATCTCTCGAGTGGCACAGCTAGACTGGCGGCCGGGCTGCTAACCAAACGCAAACACCTCCGAATTGAGGGTCGTGAGAGAGAGATATAAACAATATTAACGAAGGACGAGAGGTGCGCAGTCCCGAAACACTACCCCACCTCTTGGCACGCTATACCCGATCTAGCGAGGAAAATGAAAGTTATCGCAACGGTCACTTAGACTCCGAAAAGCAGCACTCTCTCCATGGCTCGACATTGTCACCACCTCTTCGTGGGAACACAGCATACACTGATTTCTTGTGGCCCGGTGCCCCTCTATCTGACGGTCCCAATTTTCCGAGGGAATCCTCGCAAAATAGCCTATTGGGCCAGCTTCCTTCGGCGAGCCCTGTCTTTCAACTTGGACGAGAGTACAACTCCCGGCTTTGGGCAACTAATCTTACCCCTCTACTCAGCCCACAAAACATGTCGACCTTTTTCCCTCGCTCCCTGCGGCTGATTCCCTCTTTCCTCCACCGCGCCCACGATTTCTCCTCCGGCAGCGCTCCCTTTGGGCTATTTGAGCCACCTTTGAAAGCCGACTATTGTCTAGACGACGAAATAGACCTCACATTTTCCGTGACCCCGTTAGACCTAGAGCCTCCCTAGACGCCACTTTTCTGGCCGCACAAGAAGATGCAAAGGCATCTTACCAATCATCAGGATCTTGGTGGAGGAGAAACTGGCGGCACGCCAGCGACAAACAGGAAGCAGATAGCACTCAAGGAGCTACTTTGTTGCACCGGATCTACAGCAGCCCCTGAGGCTACAATCTTCCCTGGGCGGGGCTCGAGTTCGAAGACAGCTATTGATTCTCGGTTTGGCCTGAAGCAGGCTAATCAGCCTCTGTCAATGGGAACAACCCCAATCCAATCTGGCGAGTGCCAACGTACCTCTATTGACAAGCTTGTGGGTCGTTCGATGCCTCCTGCCCAGGGCGATGTAGGGGGTCCATCCTCAGGTCCGCCGGTGAGGAGCTCGGATCTGGACGGACTCGGCAAAAAGCGCCTCTTCCCCGCGGAAGAAGGGTCGCCAAAAAGGGTCAAGAAATCTGGTGAGTTAGATCTCCTTCTACACCCCCAGACTCGGGTCCTGACCCGCTCTTCCGCGTGACAGCGTTATCGACAACGAGCGGCGGTGTTCCTCCCGGGGATACGACGAAGACGCCCATGCACCAATGTAACTCCCACGACAGAAACCCAACGGGCGCAAGCTTCCCATTCTTCGGTTATATAACTGACCATGGCGAGTTCCGCTGTGCGCTCTGTTTTACAAAGCTTCCGTGCTGCAACGATCTCCCGAAACATCACACGGACGCCGAAAATTACCGGACAAATCTCACGAATCCTGAAAAGGTCGCTAATGCCGTTGACTTCCGAGGAAAGTTGACTCTGTCAATGGGGGTCCAGGTCGGGGATACGACGAAGACGCCCATGCACCAATGTAACTCCCACGACAGAAACCCAGCGGGCGCAAGCTTCCCATTCTTCGGTTATATAACTGACGGTGCCAAGTTTCGTTGTGCGCTCTGTTCAGTAGAGCTTTCGTGCTTAGCCGATCACTGGAGACACCACGCGGAGTCCAAGATTCACCGGAAAAATCTCAAGGATCCCGAAACCGTCATCAATGCCTGGAAATTCCTAGGAAAGTCAACAGTGCTAATGATGGTCCAGTTCACCAGGAGTAGTGAGAGGCCTCTGCCAATGATGCTCCAGTTCACCACCAGGAGTATTGTGAGGACTAAGCCTAGCAATAGGCAGAACGGGCGATAAGAAGAGTGAATAGAAGAGTGTTAAGTATTCCTTGACATCAGGTCATTACAAGACTCGAAGTATTGTAACGGGAGAAGTTTGAGCTGGTGGACGGACAGATGGCAGGGCTGAGACATTGCCTGTACATTGGACAGGGAGGCAATCCTGCTTCCTAATTGGCTGGGACTTCAACACTAGGCTAGGGTCCTTCTTCTTCTAGGGATCCTTCAACAGGATCTTTCACAAGGAAAAAAAAATCAAGGAAAAGAGAGAGCTGTCTTTTGGCTGTGTACTGTGCGTTTTGTGTGTTCTGTCCTTCCCACCGCCGCACGAGTTGACGTACTTAGGCTAGTAGCCTCGCCCCAGTTCAGTATGAGAGAAGTCTCCTTCTCTCATACAAGTCGCGTGCGCTTCTACTTACAGGGGGCTAAGCCCCTGGGCAACCCGCCCCTTGGCACCCTTCGACGTTGGCCTTGGGGGGCCCTCAGCCTGGTGTCCTTCTGGCAAGTATGGACTTCACCTCCTCTCATGTTGCCATCTCTTCGAAGGGTGACTTTCTCGCTCTAGGATGACCCGGGAAATATGGGCACTATATAGTCGAGTTACTCTATAGAGGTGAAGTTATACAGTAGTTAAGAATATCTATCTTACTCAACTTTATGTGTACTCATAAGAATGTATTAAGGCCCGCTCCGCGGGGTTCAGGCCTACTTGATTTCTTGATAGGTTTTTATAGAGTAGACCATAGACCTCAGCCCAGCCTTCGTCTTATTGTCCTCCTCCACGTCTTGTTCTCCTCCAACCCCCAAACGCACTACATGTATTGCATATCTTTTCCCTGTAGCCTCAATGGAGGTGCGGTACAACTACTCACCGTCGGAGATCGCAGCTCTTCGCTGCCGTGAGACATATTCTCGCCCTTCCGCAGTACCGGGTCGAAGAGAGGGTGATGTGGTCCCCCTGGGAGTTCGGCTAGATACTGTGGTGGGCCTTCTACCTCACGCTCACCAGCGTCAAACGCTTTCCTGGCGACGATGGCTGCTCTAGGCGGTGGCGAGACCTGTTTAGACACAGGCTGGTCCGCCGGTCTGGAAATCGGAATATGCGAGCGCTCCGCCCGCTTTCTTCTGTATCGCAATACTATCGCACCGACTAAGATCAACAAAATTACAAAGCCGAACACGATCGGCACCGCAATTGCGGCGTGATTGACTGTATGCTTCGCGTGACCTGAGATCGGGATGCTGTACGCAAATACGTTGTCCATGTTCTCGCGATCGTTGATGTCGGTCAACGGCGAGGCGGCGACAAAGACCGTTCCCGTCACCGATGACGCACATGGAGTCTGTCCGCCGATCGCGGAATTGAATAGGGTATAGTTTCCTAACCTGTAGTCCGTCGTCACTATAGGATTTGGGATGAAGGGAGCATTCACCATGTGTGCGCTCCCACGCGTCTCAGCTCACATGGGACAACAAGCGCTGTACGTCCCCGACACCTGGGTGGTGTAATTTCCCGGGCATTGGTCGAGAAGCACTCCTTCGTTGAACCCATACGCACAGCACTCTTGCCTCCCATAACCACACCCGACTTCGGGAAAGATAATGGGGTTGTTCTCGCTGTCGTAGATATACGCCAGACGAATCTCGGTGCAAGGAGCGGCAGTCAAGAGCGGAGGTACTGCTTGGGACCTCGTTGTTGTGACACTGGCAAAATGTGTAGGGACTGGCATGGGAGATCCTTCCAGAGTCGACGTGACCGTGGCTCCACGACGGATTCCCGCGATCACGCTTACTATTGTCGTCACCGGCGGCGGCCAGGTAGGTGCGATCGCAGGACAGGCGCCAAAGATGGCGGATGGAAATGCTGCTGACGACGTCTCAAAGACCTCATCCTGCGCCATAGCTCGGGATTATCGCGTTGGAGACAGCCGTGGGCTGGAAAAAACTGGCGTTTAACGCACACGATAGGCTCACAAACTACAGAATCTAGAGGGAGAAAGCGACAAACGATCTTCCTTTAAAGCAGTCAACTTTCCTTCTCGCCGTAGAGAGATGAACATAAGATTCGGGAATCCTCAATCCTCCAAACGCTTGAGAGACAGCGGTCCACCTCATTCTATTCGGTGGTGCCAAAGCGCACCAATACGCGTCATGAATAGGATGGGGGTCTCGAACCACTCCTGATACATCAATGGAAGTCAATTTATACGCGCGGTTTGACGACAAAGGCAAAACCATATCATTATTCCACGAAGCTTAGAAGAATTCAATTGGACGATAAAAGCGAGTAATGTGGTACTTTGTCTTGGACCTGGTCGTCTCCGATCGGGCCACGATCGAAATTCGTGTTTCCCATTGGTACCGTAAAAGAGCGAGTGTATTCCACTTTTTGGTTATCTTTTAGTTTCTCATTCTCCCCGGGGGGGGGGGGGGG